TTTTTAATATTCGCAGTGCAGCATTCCTTTTACATTGAATGACTTTACACACACACACACATACACGAACTTAAGGAGACAGCCCTAAAAACAGGAGCTCTATACTCCAGATGATACGCTTGACTCCCCAGCGTTGATACTCTGCTACTCTGCACTACAAAAGTTTAAAGCACTTGGATGTGTTACTATATTTTCCTTTTTTTGTATTTGTTGCAATTGTAGTTGTAACAGGATAAAATAGCAACAAACAAGTAACAAAATGGATAAGACAAATGGGTTACGTGATAAAATGTGGTTACTCAAATCGTATGAGTGCCAGGAAATAAAGAATTTTTGTTGTTGTGCAATTGTTTGCATCCTGAGCACTTACTTCTGCTTAGATACTATGTATGTATGTATGTGCATGTGTCTGTATGCGTGTGTTTGTTGTTTTACATGCCCTTAATTTGTTTTTCTGTTTTTGATTTCGTGCTGCAATGTGACGTGCTTTATATGTATGTACATACGTATTTGTTTACCCGCTTTTATTACTTACCTCTTCTATTTAGTTTGTGTGTGTGTTTTTTTTTTGTTGCTGCCATTAGCGTTGTTTGCCTACGTTTTTTTTTTGTATAGTATTTTCCGCAATTTTGTTTACTTAAGAAGCCACTTCGTGAGCCAGGTAGGACGTAGAGTAGTGGCATTTTTCTCATTGTTTTCCTTGTCATTGCACAATTTTTTCGCTTTGTGTTTTTTGTTTTTTTTTTTTGTAATGCAAAATTCGGTTTATTGAGTTTTTCTTAAATAAAATGAATTTGTTTATACATGACTGGACTGGAGAAGGCTAGTTTGATTGAGAAAATATTTAGATTTTTTCCAAAAGGAGTTCATGTGGAAAGTTGCAAATTTTCAGTAACGATCTGCATAGCAGATTCAAGTTAGCGGAATATCAGATAAAGATTGTATTCTTATCTCTTGGATATTGTAAGAAATTATGAAGCCTTATGACCGGTCAGATAGGCCTATAGCTACATACATATGTATGTATGTAAATATCTTCTCGTTTTCACAAATATCTGCTCGTTAACTCAAAAAACTATTATATGTCCAGCCGAAGAAAAACGTTAGGTTAGGTTAGGAAGTAGTGTTTGAAGTTTTAAGTCCGGGGCCGTATTTGCAACTTCTGAATGCCAAGAGCCCTATATCGGCAGTTATTCCAGAGTTTCATGATAATGCCTGTTAAACCACATAATGTCCCAGGTGCAGTTGACGAGGGCCGTATAACTTCTGCACAGAGAAAGAATAGAAGAATCTTACTATAAAGCTGTTTAACGCCAAAAGTTCCTCAGTTCGTTTCTTGTTAAGCCACGTAGACAACTTTCTACATACAGTTTCAGTTTGCGTCATCATAATCTGTATAACAGGATTATCTAAGCCTTGCAGATAAATTTGANAGCTTTGCACTTCCGCCCTTAACTGCTCCTCGGTTGGCCTGCAACTTTGGCTCGCAATCAAACCCACTACATACATATGTATGTACATATTTTATTGTGTTATTTTGCTTTTTAAAAGTTTTTAAAAAATCTTTCCTTCAGCAAAATAGTGCACGAAACGAAGTGTTGTATGAAAAAAATAAACTAATGTGTAGCATCGTGAACTTTAACTAGTTTGCGCATAGCACGCACATTATTTGTTGTGTGTAGGATGTAAGCAGGTAAGCCCCATAGACCATGGAGTGGAATGTTTTTGTGGAACTGTTCTAAGAGGTTTCGGTTCCGTGTAGAGCCTCTTTTCGCATTAATACTTCAATATGTACCGTTACGCCATATAAAGGCAAGCGCAGCATAACATTTGGAAATGATGTAGTTCGCATGAACAAACACATTTTTTTTAGTACAAGTTTTGTGTTTTAAGCGCAGACAAGATTTAAAAGTTATTTATGAAAACGGCATTTCATCTTTTTAAAAGTTCAGAATAGAGTTTATTAAGTTCCATTTATGGGATACTGGAATCGTACGGTAAAGTATTTTTGTGCCATTTGATACCTGTATTGTAATATTTCATTTATTTTGCAAATTTTTCACACCCTCCTCAAAAATATTTTCGGCAGTAGACTTTCCTAAACCTCTTCAGTTTAATACCCATATTGCAATATTCAATTTATCTTATCAATTAAATTGAATTAAATGTTTTAAACACGTGGCAACCTTCCACAAAAATATTTTCGGCTGTAAGCCTTCTCAAACCTCTTTTTCCTAGCATCTTCCTTATTTTCTCTTTTCTATGCACACACCCCATCTTTATTTTACTTATCTAAATTTTTTTTTCGTTTCAATTTGTTCTGTTTATTTTTTAATTTATTTCATATTCATTCCATTTCATTTCATCTCCTTTCACATTGTATTTCAGTTCATTTCATTTCATTTACGATTCGATACATTCTATGTAATTCAATTTCATTTCCACTCGTTTAATTTAGTTTACTTTATGGTAATTTTATTTTATATAAATCTCGTTTCCTTTCAGTTCACATCATTTCATTTAATTCACTTGCATTTCAATTCAATTCCTTTCATCTCATTTCGTTTTAATTCAACTCACGTTTGTTTAATTTCACCTCATTTTATATACCTTACCATTTTGTTTAGCACTTCAATTTATGCCATTTCATTTGTTGTATTACTTGGTTTCATCTCGTTTATTTCGCTCCATATGACTTCATTTCAGTTTGTTTCGCTTCATTTCAATTTGTTTCAGTTGCTTTTACTTCATAAGTGTTAGAGCTTTATTGCGAGTAAAATGTTAGTTCAAGTTCTTTACCTTTATCGGTTAGGAAAATTTCTATACATTGTTCACAATGTTCCATTTCCGGTGTGTTCCATTACCTTTCGTTTCATTGCTTTATTTTCCAGTGCTGTGCATCCCATTGCACAACAATTTATGTGCTTTCCATATGGCTTACTGGTATAATCACTTAAGAGGCAAAGTCAATACCGGAATATATATGTACATTAGGGTTAGCTGAAAATTCGTTTTTTTGGGATTTTTATTGGTAATAGCAAATATATGGTTCATTGAGCTCTAAAAAAAATCTAGGCGAAAGATCAAAATTTTCATGTTATATATTACGCTCGCCCTAGTCAATCGAAGTTCAAACTGCTTCTCCACAAAAAAGTTTCGGATACCAAATAATGTAGCACTAAAGGTTTCAGCGATAATTGCAATTAAAAAAAATAATCTTAGCTGAGCTCCTAACTGCAGTTAAGCTCTTGGTGGAAATGGACTATAAGATATAGACCGAGAAATTTAATTTCGGCACAGCTTTTTTAAAGAATAATGAATCATGTTTTTTATTAACAATAAAAATTAAAAAATTGGGTATTCGGCCCACCCTAATGTATATACATACTTTTAATACTATCTGTTAATACATAACATTGGTTTCTTAAGTAGGTTCATTGCTATCCATGCCCACAGTGGTTGCATGCAACTTGGTCATTGGTCAAACCGCATAAACCTCGAAACATGCAGCAGCTCATTTAAGTATTGAACAGCACATTTCATGGCTCCAACGCAAAACACACACACAAATGCTTTTATGGATGTACACACATACATGCGTACATACATATGTCATACTCGTATGTGCGCCGGACGCTTGCAAGTTTTCAAGTTTTCTGTTAAGTCTATACTCAGCCGTTAATTTCCAGTGCAATACTACATTAAAACTTTTCGAAATTGGTTTTCTAATAACTTACGAATGTAGAAACAAATTCGCTCTTTTCTCCAACTAAATAGCAACTTTTTGATGTAACTGTAAATCAAATAATTTGTCGTTCTTCTCCTTGGCTGCTATTCATTTTAGCTTCCGAGTCGATGAGCAAACTCTTTCGTCCAGCTTCAGGAGCACGTGCCACACCGACGAAAAGCGTGCAGACCCCAACCAGTGAAAAGTGCGATGTCGTCTCCACCACGTCGGCAGCGACCAGCAATGCGCTCACGGATAGCATATCATTGATATCAACGGCCAGCAGCGGCATTAAAGTGCAGGATTTGAGTAACTCCGCATCCGCTGAGCCGCAATCAGATTCCGCGCACACCAACACACAATCGAATGCGAGCTCATCGCTGGGCATGCACGATGACACGGTATCCACGGCGTTGCTGGTGGACACGAGTTTGCATAGCGCCCCTGAATTGGATGCTGAGACGGGCGGGAAGAATGAAGTGGAGCAACGCATACCAAATGGTAGGTTTCAAGTGGCACATTAGGCTCACCTTCGCAGATGCTCGTAGCTATTTTCTGTCACTCGTTTACTTACTCGTCTACCCTACGTCTTTTTTTCTCTCTAGTTAATCCCTTCCTTAGCGAAAACTCGTTAGTGCAGAAGGTAGCTTCGCTACAACCGCTGCTCACTCTCAAAATAGGCACACTTTTCGAACAATCCATCGTACGCTATACGGCACGCTTAATTGCGGCGCGTTTTCTATTAACCGGCCAAGCGCATGGCTTGCATAGCGACACCCAAATACGCATATCCATAAAGAGCCTATCGCTGTCTGTTCTAGCGCAATGCGTGCGTTTCGATCCCGCTGTGCTACAGCTTCCGCTGGAGATCACAGAACAGGAGGTGCAGGAGTTGCACAAGCAGTTGATAGCAGCAACAGAATTTTCTTCGAAAAGCTCCAGCGCCAGTGGCAGTCCGAGCATTCCACAAAGTGATGACAGCGGCAGCGGCAACAGCTCGAATCTGGGCAAGGACTATGAGCACTTGGATGCGGCGGATTTCACTAAGAGCAATCCACTATCCATCGATGCAGCAGCCGTGGTGGGCGTTAGTGATTTGCCAGCCGAATTTCAGCTGCTTGAAATCAAGGACGATCATTTTGGCAAAAGTACATGTGAATATTTACTTGAATCAATACCTGTACTGAGCAAGAGCGCCGATCCAGTGCTGATGTCACAACAGGTACGCGATAGCACCCGCAATAGATCGGCGAAACAGCAGCCGCTGCAAACTTTATCAAAATCGGAAATTATCGAAACCAAAAGTAGACAGCAGCATCGAAAGCCAAGTCAATCGTCGTCATCTCCTTACCGCGTGACAGAATCGCTGCAGGATGTTCCACCGCAAATGCTGCCACCGCGGCCACCTAAACGCACGAAATCGCAACGCAAATCGATTGCAACCGCAGCGGCCACAGTCGCGGCTTTAATGCAAATTGATGAGCATATCAGCGGACGAACTTTGGCACCCGGTCCAACGGCCACACAGCACCGACAACAAATAGCAGATGTATTGCTCTACTACAACCACACAGATCCTATGCTGCGCGGTGGCGTACAACAGATTATCGGCGGTTTTTTGCAAACGTTAGGGGCCAAGCAGGTGACCATGCGCTTGGAGTTAAACGTGCAACATCTGTTGGCAATGCTCGTGAGGGTAAGTATATAAATGCAAATTGCAAACATTTTAGTCATAAAATATCGGAGAACTTTGGACAAAAAACTTATCTCTGATTAGGCCATTTTCTATTTGAAGCACTATTGCATTGAATTTCCGTACAGTATTTTAACTAGTTTTTAGTCATAGTCGAAAGACTCCATTTAATTCAAGCTTAACAAAAATTTAAAAATTTCAAAGGGAAGCTAATAATTTTTTAATCTAAAGTTGAACCTTCTAAAGCAGCGTTGGGCGGACTGTCACTCCAGCAACACTGCCCAAAGCTCTTTTGGGGAATTTGTATGCTGTTACAACCACAAGTAAATTCTTTTTTAAAGTCAAGTAAATTCTTTTGTTGAATTTCCAAAAATATATGGCCTTTGTCGAATTTTTGTTTCGATAATGAAAAATCAAATAAATAAATTCGATAACTATATTTTTTGGTAAAAATGACTTCTATTGCGGTTATTTCTAAAAAAATAGCTTTTAATAACGTTTTAAATTACACTTAGTCCTATGCCATTCACAAAAGCTTCAAATACCAATGGTACGAAGAGATTTATTACCTGTAGGAATTTCAAGGTAACAGGAACAGAGATTCAGTTAACATTTTCTCTGATCGCTCCCACGGCAGTCGGGTCTACGTAACCGGAACGACCCAAATTTGTATCTGGCCAAGGACTGTAACTTCAGCAACACTCCCCAAAAGTTCTTGGGGAATTTGTATGCTGTTACAGCCACAACAACAACATTTTCTCTAATAACATAGTTACAGCAAGTCCGTTCCGTCTGTCAGAAAGTCCAAAGTTTAGGCTTTCGGATTTTGAGAGCGAATTTCAAGCCGAAAGGACCGCTCTAAAAGAGGCAGTCTTAGAAGAGTAAACGTTGCCTATAGGAACGCATCCGGTACGACTTAATATCATTTTGCAATGCTACGCCTGACGATGACAAGATGAAATCATCTCAGCATTTCCTTCTCAGCTGTCCTGCTTTCTCAAGGCTAAGATCTAAACATCTTTTTTGCTCGGAATATACATATGAAAAAAAAAGCGCAAAGCTATTCCTATTCTCTTCATCGCAGCAAACTTTCATTTCCTTAGCAATCTACTTATTTATCTGTGTATTTCTATTCGCTGCTCAATTATTTACAACTTATTACTTTCTGAATGCAGTAACGAATTCTAAAATGCCTGCTAAGTTGCTGAAAGTACTTCGTATTTGTTTGGCTCTGCAAACATTTGAAAATGCTTATCCGCTTCAAGTTTTCACTCGCATGCCTGGCAGCTGGCCTTTTCCAATTTCCTTCAGGCGCCCTATTAGTATTGCTTGCCGGCCACATTCATTGTGTGCTCAACGCTAACAAGCCGTCGAACAATAAGAACGCAAATTCCTCTAATATGAAATAAAAAAGGCATGCAAGCGAATGGAAGGCAGAGAGAGAGAGCAATCGACGACTCTTCTTTTTCTAAGAGCTTGCAATTTTTTCGCAAATATTTTATTTTCGTTTGAATATACATATTCATGCATATTCACATTTTTGCGCTCATTGGAATTTTTGCGATTTCTTCTTTTTTTTGCAGGGCTTGCAGGACGATATACACACAGTGGTCATACAGGCGTTGAATGCATTCGAGAGGATATTTCCGTATGTGGTGTCCAAATATTTGATATTGCCGACAGCGCATCATCAACACAACCAACAACAACAACAACAACAAACACAACAACAACAACAACAACAACAGAAAGCACAACATAAACAACAACAAACACAACAGCACATACGGGCCCTCAGCTCGCAAAGTTCGACAGCAGTGCTTGTTGAGGCAGCTGATAAGAGTGGCAGGAAATGCCATGCTAATGCCTCTGGCCAAGTGCCACAACAGCGGCACTACACTAACGATGAAACAAATTTTGGCTTTTCCACCACACATGCCAGCAGCAAATCGCCAGCAATGGCCCAACCAGCAGGAGCAGCAGCAACGGCAGCCTCAACTACTAAGACGTGTCCTCGAACGCTTTTCAACGATAATGATGAGCTTATAGCTGCACTTTTGAATGATTTTCAATTGCAATCGAAATCGAATCGCAACGACTGCAGCTACAGCTACGATAACGACAACAACTCCGATGATACCACTCAGCCGCTGATGACTGGCATGACAGGCAATTCTTCTACTACTAGCCGGGCGTTCCCACTTCCGGCTGCCGCTGCCGCTGCAGCTGGATTTCGCATTTCACCCAAATTACTATTGAGTAAATTTCGTCTATGTCATTACAACAAATATTGGTTAGTTCAAAATAAATACGCCGAAGTTATTTCGAATTTAAATTACGCTGCCTTACATGCGGCCTGTAACGATTGCCATGGCTTTTGCTGTGGCACAACGAATGATGGCTGTGAATGTGCCATTGGGAGTGTTGTTGCTCGTGAAGAGGTAGGAAGTGCCGTCGGCAGCGGTAGCAGCAACGACACTAACACTGATAACAATACCCTTAATGCCTGTTCAAATGCTACCAAAGATGCTGCTGCTGCTTCTGCCAGTTTGGATGCTGAGAAGGATATGATGTCGTACAACGACGATGATTCGGATGATAGTGTCTGTATTTATGAGGTAAGTAGCGCACATTTGCAGTCACTTAGCAAAGTAGTGTTATCTATTTCTTAGTGAATTCCGTTCCATTGAAGTTATACATACATATGCACATCTGATGAATTTTTGCTTTTATATAGTCGAGGATGTAGTTGCACATTCATTTTTTGCATTTCAATTTGGTCTGACATATTTTTGTTGGCTCTGCGTAAACATGTGTGGTCCAAAATAAAATTCAATTTGTTCGAAGCGGTTACAGCGTCAAATAAGAAGAAGACTATTTAAAAAACTCACTAGGGGGGTATTTCAGTGAAGTAATATTTTTCGCATTCCTGTAAAAAACGGCTAAGTGTAGGGGTTTTTGCTATAACTTTTTTATTCGATGTCCTATTTCTATAAATGATAAATTTAAGGATATTAAAAAACATTACACAGTATGTAAAAAGGCAGATAGCAAAAATGTCTGAATTGTTGTTTTTTTTTTTTTTTTTTTTTGACGAATTTCTCGCCGTAACATTCAAGCGTTTCTTGAACTTGATATATTAACGCCTTTGTGGCTACAATTTTCAATTAAGTACTGAATTTTAGCTAAGTGCTTCTATTTTTAAAACTTTTAATTTGTGCTTTGCCTACCAATGAATACGAATTTCAAGAATTTCTCGTAATTTTTTTTTTACGTTACACGTCCGCATACGTGAAAAGTTTGCAACGCGCCTACTATGTAATAGCGATTTATTCTCCATGCTCAACGCCGCTCTTGCCAGTTGCTAAAAGCCAATTTTTCATACTTCAAATTGCTCTAGAATTACAAAATAAAAAAAAAATTTAAAATTCGTATCCTCAATCAAGGCACTTTCGCTAACGCCGTGCATATGTAATTTCCGCTCTCACTTAGCCACTGCAATTTGTGCAAGGATAATACAATAATTTTTCCTTGATGACTACTCTCGAATTCTTAAAATAGACTTTTATGCCTAGGCCAACAACTGAAAAGTATGTATAAGAACAAAAAAAAAAAAATCGCAAGAGGATGAAAAGTTGTGAGAGCGAAATCGCTTATGCACTTTTAACTTTGTCGTGTGCATGGGTAGACGCACACATATGTATGTATGTACATATGTATATTAAAAGTGCAACGTGTTTGTGTCTTGCTGCATTAGCGTTGGTTTCGTTTCCGCTTTCATTTTTGCGAACTTTTTCTGAACGGAAATGTGTCAAAAATTGCATGCAGCATAGTAATGATGTTACGCATACTCCGCTGCGCAACACTACGCTATGCTATACAAGGTCTAGATAGCGTATACGTACGTACATATGTATGTATGTATGTATATACAGACATATGCAAAAGCGCATTAAGCTTCGTTAATGCTGCAATTACTGGGTTATTTTGCGTTTTTATTTTTGGCACTGCACATTAGGTCAAATGATTCATTTGTTTGTGNTGCTATGCTATACAAGGTCTAGATAGCGTATACGTACGTACATATGTATGTATGTATGTATATACAGACATATGCAAAAGCGCATTCAGCTTCGTTAATGCTGCAATTACTGGGTTATTTTGAGTTTTTATTTTTGGCACTGCACATTAGGTCAAATGATTCATTTGTTTGTGCGAAAGTCCAATTTCGTAATTTTAATTATACTCACGTATTTGTGTTCGTACGCCCTACTGTAATTTACCATGATTTTTATTTTTCGAAGTTAACCAATAAATATTAAAAATATTAATTAATATTTAAGTTTAATTTTTTCGCTCACAGGAGATTAATATTACTTGACTTTTATTTTTTCAATCAAAAATAATGATTATTTTTTTAAATTTTTTTTACTCAAAGATAATATGCAGGGACCGAACATAACAGTTATTGATGAAAACTGTCAAGAACATGTTCTACAACTAAGAGATACATACCAATCGATTTCTTTTTTCACCGAGAATAAAAATTTAAAATAAATTTAAAAATAAATNTATTTTTTCGCTCACAGGAGATTAATATTACTTGACTTTTATTTTTTCAATCAAAAATAATGATTACTTTATTTTTATTTTTTTTTACTCAAAGATAATATGCAGGGACCGAACATAACAGTTATTGATGAAAACTGTCAAGAACATGTTCTACAACTAAGAGATACATACCAATCGATTTCTTTTTTCACCGAGAATAAAAATTTAAAATAAATTTNGAAACTGTCAAGAAAATGTTAGAAAGAGATATATACCAATCGATTTCTTTTTTCACCGAGAATAAAAATTTAAAATAAATTTAAAAATAAATTTTTATTCGTAATTTTTATGCAAAATTAAAAAAAAAATAGCAATTATTTTTGATTTTTATTTTATAAATCTAAAGTAATAATAATTCTTGATTTTTATTTTATAAATCTAAAATAACAGTTATTTTTGTTTTTTATCTAAATAATCTGCAAACAACAGTTATTTTTGTTTTTTCTGTAACAAGTGAGAAACTCTAAGTTAGGGCGGAGCCGAACATTAAATACCCGGCGCAAGTATATGTTTTTCACCTGTGCCAAGTTTGGGAGAAATTAGTGGAGCGTTTACCAACTTTACTGCGACCTATAAAAATGACTTTTATTAGCATGATTTAAAAAATAGATGTCAGTGACTGATTTATATTGCCTAGAGTGCCAGTTGCTTTCGAAATTCGGCCGTTTTTCTAGTTTTTAGAGGTTCTCTGTAAGCAAGTGCAAAAGTTTTGCACATACTTATGGAGTTCTGCTAGCGCTGCCTGCCAATGCCTGCTTTAGACTCAGGGGTGTACGACGAACTTTATTTTTCCGGTACGGTCTATTATACCAACTCAAGTAGTAACCTTTCGAAGCAAACTGTAAACTAGAGGACGGAGCAATGGTGTTAAGTTTGTGTGCTTCACAAGGGCTTTGTAATTTGTTTGCTTCAACGGCAAGTTGTTCCTACTTAAAACGTATCTGCTTAGCTGCACACATATTCAAATGCACGCATATGTACATGCACATGTGGGTTAGTACATGACGACCCTGCGGGAAAAGTAATGTGTGGTAATGTATACATGAATCTAAACACAGTCCATGTCCCAAGAAAGTAATGTGTCGCGTGTCGCTTTGAAAATCTATTTAAAAAAAAAAAAAAACCCAAACGGACTAAAGCATTCGTTCGACAGGGTTTGAAACCGCGAGCAACGAGATGGTAGACCAGCATGTTTCTATACCGCTACACTTACCGTTGACATAACATGGGAGAAAGGCATACATACTTAAGTTTATTGTTAGAATTTTTCTTTTGCTTGTTGCTTCAAAATTACACACGACCCTCTCGATGGCTGATAGTGCAATAGTCACCACAATGATTCGGCTTCAAACGTTCGACTACACATAACCCATTCGCTTGCAATAGGATGCATGCTGTCATTACATCGTAATCGTCAACCTTTCCATGCGAGAAAAAGGTAATGATAACCCACTGGGTAATCCTGCCTGATATTCGTGTGCATTCGCCTCGTTTCCACGTTTTTGCCTCATTTGGGCCAACTTTTTTTTTTTGGGATTTAAGGTCTCTTTAACGGAAATTTTCATTTCCACATTTTCGTGTTTTTCAATTTTTCATTTTAGTTTATGCGAGTTATCACTCATTTTGCGAGTGTGCATATGAATGTACTTTAGGGTAGGTCGAAAATCTGATTTTTTTTGAATTTTTATTTTTAATAGCATGGTTCATTTTGGTCTTAAAAAAGCTGCGCGGAAATTGAAAATCTTCGGTCAGTATCTTAGAATCCACCAAGTCGGTTAAGGTTCAATATGTTGACAAAAGTTTTTTTCTTTGATCGTGAAATTTAATTCTCCAAAATGGTCCTAATACAAAGTAATGCAGGATTTATAGTTTCATTATCTTCGAGTTTTAGCAAACAAAATTGTATGTCTTGTCACGCATTAATATAATTTTTATGCGTGAAAAATTAACGATAATCTCTTCATTTTACAGAAAATTTCATTTCCTACAAAAAGGAAGTTAGTGAAATTGTTAACGATAATTGCGATTTTTGTTAGAAGGCGGTATTTCTGTGCATGAAAGAAACATCTATGGCTGAAAAAATAATTAAAAAATTACTAGTTATTTATATACGAAATTCAAATTAAATTCTTCTTTGTGAAGAAAAAGTTTTTTAATTAAATTTTTGGTAAAATCAAACCTCAAGTCATATTGCTTTAACGTTAACATGACTAAGGTAATGACTACAGACTAAACAACTGCTGATAAAAGTTGTTGGTAAAAAATTAGATTTGCGATCGAAGTAAGTTAAGAAAAAAAAAATTCTTTGAACACTTTGGACTATCACTGACATGGGCAAGCCTAAGATATTGGGCAAAAATTTAAGCTTTCGCAAAGATTTTTTTTAAAGCATAGTGGGCCATACTTTTGCTACTATCCATGAAAATTTATATAAAAAAAAACGAAATCGCATTTTCGGCCCACCCTAATGAAAATTAATGTATGTATGTGTGTATGTATGCGGGTGGTACGTGCTCTCATTAAATGAAGTGACTTTCGCCTTTTACTTGGCCTTTTTCTGGCGCGTACAAAATTAAAAAAGGGGAAACAAAAAGCAAATCGCAATGATAAAGTTTCATCTCGTACATGTGCTCCACTGCTGTGTTGTGTGAAATTAAAAATTTGTGAAGCTTTGCCGCTTTTTTGGCTCCAATACCTTTCACCTTCGCAGCTAACATATCGCACACCGTCTTCAAAAGAGGCGCAACTCAAAATTTGACATTTTTGAAATTATGCGCTAAAAATATACACAGAGCTTTTATTTACTTTTCAGCAAAAGCTTGAGCGAACTTTTTTTTATAATTTATTAAGAACCCCTAAAGTAAAGTCGCCCTGGCCCATATGACTAGCATGTGCTACGAAATAGTTTTTCACATTTTCTGACGAAAGGATTATTTTGCGTTGTGACTCTTTTTTGAAGACGGTGTGCGATATGTATGTACATTTGCACACACAATACGTACACACTTACATATGTTTTCATATTTTCCGGAAAATGTTAATCTTCTGTCATTCATCATTCCTTCATTGCACTTTTATTGATTTCTTACAACATTTCTGCTCTACTTACCTACTATGACACATTAATATAAGTCTTTACCCAGCTTTTCCTCAATCCACACTCGCACCACCTCTCTATCTACATACATCTTTCTACTTTGCAGACTCAATTTCTGGATGAACTTTTGCAATTGATCGGCGACGATGATTTCCGTGTCAGAGAACATGCCGCACTCTGCCTTTGTCGCTTCATCATACAAAATGCAAAACGCAAACAACAACAGTGGAGCATAAGCAACAACAACAAAACATTCAGCTCGTCTAGTGGTGGGATAGGTGCAACAACATCGACAAATAAATTCGGCAATCGACAACATCCGGACACTGGCCCATTTGGTGCTGGCATTGGCGATGGCGGTGTTGGCTCTGGTGCTGCTGGTGGTGGTGCCAGTGCTGTTGGCGACGACAAATCGCTCTCGCCGGCCACCTATGAAACTAATTTCAATTTGCTGTGGGATTTTTTCGACTATCGCCTGTTCAGTGGCCTGCCATTGCCGTTACGTAATTTATTCAGAGCGATGTCATCGCCGTCATTGGCGGCGACAACTGCCACAGAAGTCACAACAACGACAGCAGCACCAACGACTTTAGATGCTAGTGGCGGTGATTTTTCGGATGCGCTGCCACAACGCCATCGAGCGGAAGAGGAAAAATTGTTGGCTAAAGTTTTGTATCGCATGACAAATAAACTGATGGAGCTGGAGGATAAAAATGCTCAGGTAAGTGATGGCCAGTGGGAAAATGTGTCCTGTAGGAAAATTTATTATGCTTATAAATAGATGCTGATAGGAGTAGTGCATGGATATAAAATGCTTTTCATTTAAGGAAAAAAAAAAACATAAATGATGAGGAATCTCTAATTAATAGTTTTCCATATACATTACGAGTGGTCCAAGTTTTGTATGTGGAAAAAATGTCATCGTCCAAAAGGGGCACCGCCTTAGTTTTTTCCTTTGGATATCCATACCAACTTTAAAAGGTGCTCAATGACCTTGAAATGCGCTACTGGATCGCTCTGAAACTGACAAAAATATTAGCGATTTTTATAAAAAGCTATTAGCGTCCTTTCGCCTATTTTCTTTGAAGTACTGATTTGCGAAATCCCCGCAACCGATTTCTGGCGAAAAGTCTTGCTCGGCTCGGCCAAGTCTTGCTTAGCTTGCCACCCTTCTCCTTATGTATGTACGTGCATCTACACTAGTGGTGCCTACACATGCCGTATCGAGTCGGCATGAAAATCAATTGCTGAAGATAAATTAATTAATCAATTTAGGTATAGACAATTTTAAATGGAATCGGTTTATAGAACGACTTAATCTGTGGGAAAACAAATATGCTAACGCATGAATTTCCTACAGGGTTTTAAGCAATGTGCTATTTCTGTGCAATAATTCAATGTCTGTCTATATTTTCGACAATTGCAAAAAAAAAACAAAAAAATAAAATAAATAATAAAACTACATAGAAAAATACAAACGTTTTATTTTAAAAATTTTCGCATATGTAGCTTGCGTAACTGCGCTTTATGAAGTTGGCGCACAACTGCCAGCGCAAAAAGTAAATCTCTAATGTGTTTGTATGAATGTAGAATTTTTTTAGAGACAATTATTACAAAATTGCAAATGATTTATTGTTTTTAGTGCACAGAGCGTATTTTTTTTTTTTTTTGGTGACGTATTGAAAGAAAATTAATATACAAATGTTTGTAGGTGCATATAGTACATAGTAGGCGTAGTATAGTAGTGCGCGCTACCATTCCGCTGGACCTGCATTCAAGCCGGGATCAACCCAACATCAAAAAAAAAAAAAAAACACAAAGGTTTTTTTCTAATAGCGGTCGCCCCTCGGCAGGCAATGGCAAACCTTGGAGTGTATTTATGCCATGAAGAACAGCTTCTCATGAAAATAAAATCACCCTTCGGACGCGGCTTGAAATGCAATTTTTTACTTGCTTCAAACTTGCACTTGCAATTTGTTGAATTTCACTAAATTCTATATAAAGCTTAAAAGTTTGATTTACATGATTTTCATTGAGACATTAGCAATATTGTTATACAAAATACGCACGAAAAAAATGTTTGCTTGAAAAACATTGTAAATGTTAGAAAAAGATAGTAAAAAACCACCATGTACGAATACCTAAATATTTACTGAATACATTCATCATCATGCCACCCCATCGCCTGCCTATCCGACGCCTCCGCCTCCGCCTCTGTCACACCACAATCAACAACAAACCACAAATATTCAACTACGTTCAACAGTTTGGCATAATTTACGCACTGAAAATGTTGCTACAAGATTTCAATTTCATTGATTACCAACGTGCATGGATGGAATTTAATTTCATTGAAATCTGCCAGAGATTCTCCTATTACAATTATGCCACAGCCGTGGACTTGAGCTGCCAGAATGACTTGATTGATGTTACCGGTAAATTAATGGCAGGTAAGTGCACCAATAAACCAGATAACTTGTTAGAAATTTATTGTATGTATGTATCTATGTACAAATATACGTAAGAAATTTGTAGGCGAAATTCCCAGCCAACAGTGGAACGTAAGTTTTGCTGACAGAGCTGTCTCGTATATTTTTCGTATACGGAAACGAACAGAAAACGATTTAAATTTTCGTTCATTTTCGTATTCGAAAAACGTTCGAAAATGATCATGTTATTGGAGAGCAATAATTTTATTTCATTTGTTCAAACTGAAAGTTTATATATAAATACATATACTATGTATTCGGCATTGATTGTGTAGAGAATCGATAAACGGAAATAAAATTCGCATCCACTTTCCTTTCCTTCTTCGGATCCATTTTCGGATTTCTTGCCGGCTTGGTTGCTAAGATTTCTCTTTATTAATGTGTGTAACTGCCTGCAGTTGTCAGATATGTACACATATGAGATATTATTAAGTAAATAGTTTTGGCAACTATATTTGTTAGTTGACTTCCTTGCTATATAAAGCAATGTAGTTATAACCAATCGACATTTACATATGTGTGTATATGCGTATAGGTACATAGATGTTGGATCATATGAGCATGCTTTAGGGTGGTCCAAAAGAAGTAAAGTTGGTATATTAATGCTCTCACTCATCTAGGATCGTTCTATATCGAAAAAATCTACCCCTATAAGATACATGGAAAACTTTTAGCGCTTTGAGCGACCTCTATTTTTTTTTTGAATAAGTTCGGGTGAAACCTAATTTTATGTAACCGGCGCAGGTATCGTCGTTCCAACTTTCTTTAAACTACCTAAAAGGAACGTAACGGTTGTTCCTTGTGCCTATACAACGGCAAATAAGATTCAATTTTTTTTTGATTTCAAAATAAANAGGAACGTAACGGTTGTTCCTTGTGCCTATACAACGGCAAATAAGATTCATTTTTTTTTTTGATTTCAAAATAAATAAAAAACAGGGGTATAACTTTTTTTGGTATAGAACAATCCTTGGGGGTAAGGGCATAAAAATTCCGACTTTACTTTTTCATAAGCATTTTTGGACCACCCTAGTATGCATGCATGAAATACATATATCTAAATAAGAAATATTTAAATACGTAGGTAGGAGGTACAACCAACAACCAGATCTGGGTCGCAATGATTCCTTTAAGGATTAAATTAATCTCAATTACAATATACAAGGAATTGTAATTAGTTATCAATTGCTTCAGTCCACAGCAATGGAATTGAATATATTCTCAAAGTAAATTAATTTTAAATATTTTTTTGTGATTTGAAATTCCATTACAAAGAAATGTATATAGCCCGATCCCGCCCATCCCGATTTTAAACTTGTAGGTCACGAACCCATCCATCCCAGCGTTTCTAACTAACTTATGTTAAGTATACTTAGGTATGATTTATTTTGGGCCAAATTTCCAATTTGGACGGAAACTCATTCCAAAATAAATCATTTTACCACCCTGTCGGAAGAATCAACCAACAGCAACATACTTAAGTATCTTTTGCTCGAGTATTCGACTTTCGTCATGCTGAAAGATCGGGGATGTTCTGGTTTTCTCGCCATTTCTTTTTGTCTTAATATAAAATTAATAAAGGGCTTAATTGCATAGAACGTTCTTAAAGCATATTCACATTATCGTAATTTACGGCTCATTTGTTATTTATAAGCAAATTATGCTGAAAGCAAGTAATTTCACTTTGTAAAATCTGTCAATAAATTAATAATAGAAATGAGATAATATATCATAAATCAATAACCAAATGAAGAAAGAAAGATTTTTCATTTATTCTAGCCCCCTCTGTTGAGGAAATTTGAAAAAAATGCCTAAAGGTATGCCATCATTTTTTTTTTTTTTGAAATCAAGTACAAACCACACACTCGTGCTTACGCGTGCAATAGAAATTATCACAGAAAATTTGTTGCATAAAAATGTGTTTTATTTCATTACGCTAATCTCTGCCTGGTGCACAGCTGTTAATATTTATTTTTATTTATTTTTTGGCAAATTAAATTAAGCCCTCAATGCGTTAACGAAAGTAGGTTAAATTAAATCGAAATAATTGCATTAGCATATTTACCTCAGTTATTTTTTATAATTACAATTGTTAGCATTGCACGCAAGATTTGATGCATAAATAAAAGCATTTTTTAGCCATAAATTAGCAATAGTAAATGAAATTATTTAGCAAATACAAAAACAACATAATTATTTATTATGTATACTTTGCATAAAATTTTAAATGTCTACAAATACAATATTTGTATTGCTGTGTTTATTAAATAACAAACGCGTAACTATCGAAATACAGAGATGCACACAATTGTTTGTAGGACATACATATGTATGTAAGTACGTAGTATTACTATTTAAATAACTATGTAAAAATATGTAAATGCTAATTGCAAATACGCATAGACAGTTCGAAAATCGAAATGCTAAAGCAAATGATTTTATTGCAGTTCTACTAAATTCGATTAACCCGAGGCCATTGCTGGTAAAAGAGGTGGCAATATTAACTGAAATTGTATAATATTTGACTTTGCTTTACAATATTAGCTGGTTATGCGTGCGTTCAGGCGTCTGATTTTCGGTTAGTTAAATAACTAAGAACAAAAAAAAAATTATAAAATAATAAATAAATATTTACATACATACATATATAAAAATTAAAGGCAAACAAAAAACTCATTGTAATTGAACCGTACACACATTAAAATAGCTTGACTTGAATGAGTAAATTGGAACCAACAACTAGAACAATTTAATTAATGCAGAGGGATGTGCGTGCATTAGGATGCCTCACTGTAAAAAAAGATTCCGCTTCCTCAAGGAAACCAAGAGAAAGGTCTATCGTAGAAATCCCACCACAAAAAAATTGTGTCTTTGTTAGTTCAGCGTCATTCGTTGGTAATACCTAAAAAAAAAGCTTTTTTTGTCATAAAATTTGTAGATGTAGCTCTTTTCGACAGCACATACCCTTGATGATAGAACAAAGTGTATTTAAGAGGCCAGCAAAGTATAGTTAAAAAAGAAAAGCCTATTTATAACAAGCTATCATTTCTTGGCTGAGTTTCATTTCGGAGGTATCACTGCGTTAGGCGACTTAAACTCCTGTTTTCCACAAGAATGCTACATTCTCTGACAACTGATACCAAAAGACATAAAAAGCAATATACAGACACATGTGAAATAAGCTGCATAAAAAAGAAATTTTGTGCACTTCGCTTTAAGCTTACAGAAGTGGTAATGGATGATCAACATTGTCCACAGCCGCCTACCCGTAAAACTTTTCTTTGAATAATTATTTATGTACATTCATTCGTAATGATTCCACCAATCACAGAGTTATTCACGTTTATTGCTCTTGTTCAATTCCTTAGGAAATTAGTTCATTCACTTCCCAAAAATTTGTCTAGAAGGAGTAAAATCTGGCAGTGAGAAAAAAAGGCGGGTGAACGAGGTACTCTTAATCTTTAGTGTGTAAGTGTCTGTATCCGAACTAGTTGCAAACAAGTCCCGAAATTGTCACGAACTAGAAACAAAATGATCCCGAAAAAGTCTTGAACTAGTACTGAACTGGGCCCGAACTGGCCCAGAAATTACCGAGCTAGTCCCAAAATGGCTCCGAAAAAGGCCTGAACTATATCAACGGGCAGTATTGCTAGAACAACTGATTACATTTGTTTTAATTTGTATTACATACTTCTGAATTCGTCTTGCCTTACGCGTGACGGTTATGACGGTCATGAGCTTCTAGATATAGCGATGCTAACTTGACCTAGTAAAGGTTTTACAGTAGCACAGTCCTCCTCGCGACACGACCTGCATTGGTTACAGTTAGAGTTGGGAAATTTAGTTCATTTGAGTGAACCGTTCACTTGCAGTTCGTTCACCTTAGTGAACTAGTTCTTTAGTTCTTATAGTTCATTTAGTTCACTATTTCATTTAATTCAATTGACGAATACATTTACGTTATTTTAAACAAAGTTCAATTATTTTTATTATTTTACATACAAACCAAAACATTTGGTAATTTGAATTCACAGAATACTTTTACATACACAAAAAACGTATGTTTAGGAACTTAAGTCTTATAAAAATTATTCAGCCTTTTTCATTGGATGGCATATTTGTACTAATGGTCATCTTCTTAGCATTATTGTTGTTACACAAAAATATTTTGTTGTGTACGTAGCTTATTTCATTTTAACATCAATCACTTACAGAGTTTTCGTATAAATACAATACAAATAAACGAGTATTTTTATAAAAAAAAACTTTAACAAATTCATAGAATAAAAACATATGCATGCACATATGTACGATACGTAAAGACTTACATATTGCTGTGCAAAAACATTAAATTAGAAAGCTTGTTGGATTTTAAAAGAGTTCTACGCTCGTTTAATATTTGCCCTGCCCCCGAAAAAACTCGTTCGCATGGAACTGAAGTAGCAACAATGCAAAAGCGTTTTAAAACGTATTTGTAAAGATGGGGATACACGTCTTTACGTTCGTGCCACCACTTTAATGGATCCTGCTTGCGGTTTAAAATATCCTCATTAAGATATTTATCCAATTCGCGCAAACCAGCAGCAGTTGTATTTTCAGGTGTAGAAATATTTCTAATATTTTCATCATATTCATCCCAGATATTACTTTCTATTCCTAGGGTCAAGCATAGTGCATTCTGCATATAAAGAATTCATTTCCAAATTTCTGAATCGAGCTTGCATACCTCTCTTTAAAGACTCTTTTAAAGCCACTACTTTTTCATTTTGACATGAATACTTCAAAAGAAAATTTTGAATTAGTTTGTTAAACACTATTACTTTAGACAATGTAACATTTTTTTCTGAGCTTATCTCCATGGTAACCTCATAAAAAGGCTTAAGAAGAAGCAAAGCCCCCTCTATGATTTCCCAACTCTGTTGGTCAATGATGAGATCAGAACGCAGAAGTGCTATAGTGGTGACCACTGCCTCCTTCAATTTTAAAATGCGCTCAAGCATATCATATGTCGCATTCCAACGGGTTGAAACATCTTGTTTCAGCTTCAGGGGAGATAAATTCAGTTGTCTTTGTACATCCATAAGTTTTTGAAGTCCGCGTGGGCTTCGGTTGAAAAACTCCACAATTGCTTTTACTTTATGTAAAACATCTGATATTTCTGCAACTCCATGTTGAACAATCAGGTTGAGAAGATGAGCAAAGCAACCTATTGACTTCCACTCTCCTAGTCGAACAGCGTTTATTATATTTGGGGCATTGTCACTTACTACAGCTGCAATTTTGTGTGAAATTTGCCACTCAGTCATAACTTCTTTTAAAAAGTTGCATAAATTTTCGCTGGTATGCCTCTCGCTAAATTGCTTACAGCAGATCAAAATGGAGCAAAGATTTGTATTTTTGTCTATTAAGTGTGCAGTGACAGCAATAAAATGCTCGTTAATACGCGACGTCCACCCATCTGTAGTGAGGCATACTGCAGTTGATTCGGAAACCTTACGTTTTGCTTTGGCAAGTAATTCTTCATAAATTTGTGGTAAAATTTTTTCAGAAACTGTTTTCCTGCATGGGAGTTGGTAGTTAGGACAATGTGACACCATTTGAATCAGCCTCTTCATTTCTGGTTCCTCCACGATTCGTAGTGCATGATGCCCTTTTGCGATCATCTGGACGAGCTGCTTGTCGATTTGTTTAGCTTTTCTGCCCGTTGATGGTTTATCTACGTAATGTGAAATTGTTGGTTGCTCAGCCACAGTATGTTGCTCGCTCGTTCTCTGTGCTGGTTCTGGCTGTGATAACTCCCGCATTGCCTGTGTTGCTTTCTGTCCTTGCTCCTGCGCTGACTCCTTTTCCAATTGCCTCTCTTCACACTGTTGGTGCTCGATTGAGATGAACGGGTGCTTGGCTTTCATGTGCCGCTGTAGATTGCCATGCGACCCACATTTAAAACTGATATTTATTTGGCAGTACCGGCACCTTGCCTTCTTATAATTTACTTCAATGAAGTGGGACCATACTGCACTCCGCTTTCTCATTCCAATCATCTGCACATAGTAAAAATTAGTCAATAAAAATTTTCGATATTGTATAATAATAAATATACTTTCTATATCTCCAATTGACACAAATACACAATATGCAAATGAAAATATTTCCGTGAAATCTGCTTTTGGCGTACAAATAAAAAAAAGGATTGCCATATCAAGATTTTTTGTATCTTTGAACAATTGGGAAAATTGTATAAGGCGCCTGCTACATGTTCAATATTTATTGTCAGTATTTGGATCGTGATCCAAAATCAGAACTAGTAGTGAAAAATGTAGTTCAATGAAAAGACCGAACTAGTGAGCTAGTTCATTGAGATGAACTAGTTCTTTAGTTCATTTAGTTCAAGAACTACCCAAGCCTAGTTACAGTTAAAGGCAACCAAATTTTACAAGTGTTTTGTTACACTTTTATCAATTAAAGCCTAGTACGGTGAGGA